AGAAGATTTTTTTTTTTTTACTTCGTAACATTTCAACGAACGTGTCAAAAAGATCGTGAAAGAAAACAATTTTTCTGTATAGAATTTATCTTCGTCGTCGTTTTTTGTGATTTTTTTGTAATCGTCAATTTTTTGATAGTATAATATTATCATTATCGTTGATTTTAAAAAATGTATTCTCTCTCTCTCTCTCTCTCTCTCTCTTTCTGTTTCTTTCTCGACGGGTGGTCAAAACAATAGAAAAATAATCTACTTTATATCTCGTAATTAATAAAAATGATCTCGAACGAATTTAAAAGATAATTTTCGTTCGAGTACTCGTCTATACAAACAAAACAGATGAAATATTAACTTCAATGAGATTTTTTCGAATGATAATTATAATATAAAATTAAGATATCATCTTTTGCTTAAATTTTAAGCACTAAATTTAATTGAATTTTTCAAGAACGAAATATGTTTTGTTTTTTTTCGTGTGAAAAATTCGTTTCTCCCTTTCCCATTTTATATTTTACAGTTATTATTATTATTATTATTATTATTATTATAATTATCGTGTCACGAATGAAATTACAGAGAGAGAAAAAAAAGAAAAGAAAAAAAAGGAGATAAATATTTGAAAGAAGTCAAAAATAAATTTTGTGTCCCGATAGAGGGAAACGGATAAGAAGAACGTGTTAAAAAAAAAAAAAGAAAGTAGAAAAAAAAGGAAAAAATATTAGGGAAGAAATGGGAAAAGAAATAAATAAAAAAAGAAGAAAAAGAACATATGGAAAGTTGTAAATTAACGTAAAAAGGAAAAGGGAAATTTGATCTTTTATGAGATTAGAAACCACACATAGTCCCCAAGTCGAAACTTCCTGTCCCGGGGTCTCTCATTGAATTTCGAGGTTGACCCTTCATTGGCGCGCCAAGGAAGCTATTGTGCATTGAATTTACGGGTTACCACGAATCCCATTGATTCGATTGGCGGTCACATAATGACGCATAGTTAGCATGTCACTGGTACTATTACTATCAACGTGTTCGCGGAGAGCAACTGAAGACATTCGAAGAACATAAATGAAATAATATATGTTGTTGTTTAAGATAATGCAATTTTTTTTTCATTGAATTTTCAATGCATTCCGCGAAGAACACACAAATGTGTGAAATAATATATTTAATATAATATAATATATATTTGGGTGAACATACGAAAAAAAGTTCGTGTGAATTTACTGTATTATTTCGGATAATGCAATTTTTATAGAATTAAATCAAATTTTACTTTACGTGCAAGTGAAATATTCATTTAAAACGCACGAACATTTTCTTCATCTTAATAAAATATATATAAATGAGAGAGAGAGAAAGAGAGTGGGTGAGTGAGACCAATAAAAAGAATAAACCACGTGTCCTGAGGGCAAAGTTCGAACAAAATTTATCTGTCCAACTTGGTTCCTATCAATTTGCATTTATTTACCAACATTCGCGCGTCCCCGATTGTGATACCAAACGATCGAATTAAAATGTTTCCAAAAATAATTCATAAGAACGGTCCAATAAAATATAATCAACAATGTTGTCTTGTTATCCCGAGAGTTATTTATTTCCTTTTGTTAACCAACGATCTATCACACAAAAAAGTTACACAAGATAGAATTATCGCTGGAACGGATAAATTCAATGATTTCGTTATTATGGAAAGACATTAATAATACTTACTTATGAATCGAAAGATTCGTTCAATTGTCGATATATTTAATAAGACAATTAACTTATATTTAAAAAAAAAAAAAAAAGAACAATTTTGAAATTCAAATATTTCATTTAAAAATTATCATCGATTTTGAATATATTTATATAAATAATATTAAATATTTCTCACAGATATAAAAAGAAAAAAGTCTCGACGACTAAATGATAAAACGAAGAAAATATAATATGACACTTTATGCTATATGTTTTTTCGTGTTCGATTATGAAATAAAACAAAAAGAAAAAGAAATATTCGTATAATCGGTTATATTATAACATTTTAACATGGGACACGTGCGAATCCCCTTTTAGCCACGTGGTACGCGAGAAGATTCGCGGCGCCTGCGCAAAATTTACGCGGGAAAAGCCGAACGATGATCGTATTATCCTATATAACACAAGTCAAAATTTATTTTATTCTCTATTATAATAATTATACGTTAAACTTTTAATAAACACGTGCTTATCGAAATGTGTCAATCATAACTCTTATATTTAAGCAACGAGTTAAAAACAAAACCATTAACAACAACAACAACAACAACAAAAACCGTTAACAATCAAATCGAATCTCATATGGTTCTATATAATCAAACTAAAATTATAAATTCGTTTCATTACCTTTTTTTCTCGAAATCTTTAGTATCCCCGTCCTGATGTGATATCTCGTTGATAATTACAATAAAAACAAAAAAATAAAAAAAATAAAAAGATGTATTACAAAAAAGAAAACTAATAAAATGAACGATATATTATTTCCAATATTGTCACGTGATAATTGAACTAGATGAAAACTGGAACCGGGTGGGGGTGGGAGTGGGGGGGAGTTTAAGGAGGAACGAATGGGAAGAACAGAGTTAAGATTACCCGACGATTCGTTGCGAGAGACTAAAGAAACTGATCGTGTTCGCATCCCCAAGTGGACTCACAGTTTGAGAAGTCACGATAACAACCGAAAGCTGGGATTGGCCCGACCTCCTCTCCAAACCGAACTACTGACTCCTTCCGTTTCTTCTCTCTCTCTCTCTCTCTCTTCTACCCGCCCCCTCCCCTCCCACCACTCCACTCCAAAACCCCTTTTTCCAACTGTTCGTCATCGTCATCGTCATCGTCGTGTGCTGTGTGTAGTGTCTTCGACTTCCTTTTCGTTTTCGTTTTCGTTTTCGTTTTCGTTTTCGTTTTCGTTCTCTTATATGTTAGTCGTCGTTGTTTTATAGTCGTCGTCGTCAATGAAAAAGAAACACAAGTATTCTGCCGTAATGGATGACAACATGATTTAATAATGACGCAATCAAATTTATACGAATTTCACTTTAGTCGGGAATTTTTGTATTAAACTTTTTTTTCAACGAAAAATAGAGAGAGACAGAAAGAGAGAGAGAGAGAGAGAGACACACACATACAGCTATAGCAAAAAGACAGTGAACGAGTGTGCGTGTACGTGCGTAATCAATCCGTACATATGTTGATGAAGTAGAATATTACGTGTTTTGTAAGTAAGTATCGAACGTTCATTTTCAATCGTCATAATAACTCATCGATTGATTACTCAAGACGAAGAAGAAAAATTTTGATTGTATATCTTTTTAAATAGATAAAATTCTATTTTATCCGAGTTATAGATATTTGTAATAATTGTTAAATATGTATCAGTGAAAGTTTACGTTGGACATTTTTCTGCAACGAATAAATGCTGCCTGCACACACACAGACACACACACACGATCGAAAAGTTTTCTTGCCATAGTAGAAGGTACATATGTTAAAATATATATATATATATATATATATATAGATAAGTATGTATACACATGTGATATGAATATAAATGAATAGGGGTTTTTTTTATTTTCTTTTTCTTTTTCCCCATATCTTCGTTAAATTGTATTATTCCACGTTACGTTTTGTAATTTTACAAATTATTCTAAATCTATATTTAAATATTAAAACGCGATCAATATAAATCTTGAAAATAAATCTTTAAGAAATTTTTGGATTCCGATAATTTAAACGATCCTTTGTTCTAACATTTATTTATTTTCCTTTGTAATTTAAAGAAAAGAATATAATGTTATTTATCATACTTGTTGACGCATATACTGCGAAATGTAGAACAATCGTTGCCGGAGAAAAAAAGAAATGTAATGATAAAGTTGAATTTGTGAAAAATAGCGAAGTTGCTTATCAAAGTTACATTTATGTATCAATGGGGTCGAAGGTCGATGAAATAGTCGACAAATGTTGTCTGTTAAAATGATCACTGAAGTATCTCCATCTCTCTCTCTTTCTCTCTCTTTCTCTATCTTTCTCTTTCTCTTTTTCTCTTTCTCACACGCACTACTTTTCTCAACGCTCCCCCCCCCCACTTTTACATTTTAAAAGTTTAACTAATTTCGCACTCGATTGAGTTCGGCCTTCTCTTTTGGAAGCGACTTTCGAATTCCAAACGATAAGGGAAAACTCGGAAGGCGAGTGTCCGATAACTCGTTCTAGTCAAGAGAACGGATAAGATGAGAGAAAGAGACAGTAAAAACATACACACACATAATAGTATAACTCCTTAACCCGTTTCCAAACACGATTTCGAGACCGTGCAACTCATATCTCTAACAAGTCTGACGTAACCCAACGCAAAACCCATAGAATAGAAAGAAGAAAACAAATTTTGATGATTAAAATTGACAAGTTAGAAATATAAATAATCTTTCATCGTATATATATATATATACAAAATATCTCGAAAATTATATTTTTATTTTTGTTTTTTTTTGTCGAATGGTAGACGAATTATAATAGAACACAGAAAACAACTAACGGAGATACGAAATGTGACAGAAAAATGCATCCATATGCGAACGAGTGTAGGTATGCACACACAACACACACACACACATATCTATATATATATATATATACCAACACTTAAAGTACTGTGCATCTCATCGACCGAGCATATATATTTTTGTCCGTTCTATTATTATCATCGGAGTTCGATGGCCATGCACGATCTCGTGTCTATATAGTTACTATTTTATATCATACATGCACAACTCTCTGTTGGTTGGTGGTGTTATGTTAATTCGCGCGCGGCCAGTTTACACGTGGCGAATACGAAAAACCTTTTTTCCAATTGATTGAAATCGTGTTATATATAGAGAGAAAAATTCATCCGAGATAATATTTTCGATAATAATAATAAAATAAATAATACATCTCTATGAATGATCCGAAAGCGCAAAGCTTTATGTTTGCCAACTTACCATTAAAGCTCCCGCGTAGTAATGGTGGCGCCTCGCGTAGCATTAATGCTCATGCAGGTAAAAAAACAACCCTTTTTTTAATCACCGAAAACTTTCCTCGTACCTTCCCCTTTCCTCCTTCTCTATCTCTTTCTCTCTCTTTATTTCTCTCCTTGTTAGATAACACGGAGAGATATAATTGAAAAAAGAAAATTTCACAAAAAATATCAAATTCAAATTATACGACGATTATAATAATCGAAGAGAGAAAGAAGATTGGTGTAAAACGTTGTATACGAGAAACATAGTTTTTAAATCTATATATATATATATATATATTAATAAGAGAAAATATATCGAAAAAAAGTAAATAAATAAGAAAAGAAAGAGAAAGAAAAAAATAAGAAAGAAGAGAGTAAGGAAAAGAGTGCGCAGGTGCGTGTATGCATGCGTGCGCGCGCGCTCCTTTGTAAAATAAAATACGCGCGAATATATGGGATAAGGGAAAACAAGTCAATAAAAACTAAATATAAAAGATATATTTAAAAAAAAAAAAAAAAAATAACAAAAAGAAGAAGAAGAGACGACGCGCGAGAGAACGATATTTATCACCGGCGTGTCTTTCTCGCATCGAGCGAGAAATGGTTGTAATATGGACGACGGATCGATCTTACGGTGTCCCACACACTCTCTCTCTCTCTTAACACGATTCTGCTGCCCTCCTCCACCCCTACCCTCGCGATCACCCCCTTGTCGTGATTGTTCGGGCCCATTCGCCCCAACTCGCCGCTCGAGATTCGTCGTTCGGATTCGTCGTTCGTATTCGTCGTTCGGATTCGTTAAAACCCGATTATCTACGAACACTAACGACAAATGACGATGATGATGATGATTAAACATACAAACACAAGAAATTCAGAAAACTCGCGCGTTGCGGCAAAATCTATTTACGCGATTTTTCCATTTGATTTACATGTTTTCCTTCTTCTTTTTTTTTCTTTTTCTTTTTTCTATTTCATTTATTCTCTTCCTCTTATTCTTATTCTTCTTCTTCTTCTCTAGCTGTTGTTCACGAATAGAGTAAAAGCAAGAAAGAGAAAGATATATATATAGTTCTTCGTTTTAAGGTAGGTCGTGTACCAGAATACACGCCATTTTGGACCCAAAAAAAGAAATGAAAAGAAATACCGTATGGAGACAGATATTCTTAGACGGCTGGTATGGGAGGTTCTGTCTCTGCGTGCGTCACGTTTTTCTTTTTTTTCTTTTGTTCTTATTACCTTTTATTTTGTTCCCACTAATTATTGTATCCATTTCGGAATAATTACGATGAATCATTTTATTGTTATAATATATCATCGTTCTTTCTCTTTGTTATTTGTATTTCTATTACACTTTCATTAATATGCATTTATTTCAAATTCACATTTATCTTATTTTCTCCTTTCGTCGCTTTTATATTCTTCAATCTTACTATTTGAATTATTTTGATACATATATATATATATATATATATGTGATATATCTCTTTTGACACGATTTTTGTTTATTTTTTTCCTCTTTTCATCTAGCTCAGTTCATTAACCTTTTTTTTATTAAATTCCCTCTAGTACTTTCTGGTATCATCATATTATGTACCAAATATAGTCGATAAAACGTACGTGATTCCTTTTATTTTTCATTTAATCACAACGGACGACTTTCTATCCTCTCATACTCTTTTTCAATGTCCCAAGGTCATCAGTTGGCCTTCCCTTCAAGGCAACAGCGTTCACTATTCTAGCTCTCTATCTCTATTGATACTACTTATTTCTCTTTCTCTCTCACATACACATACACACACCCACTGACTCACTGACTCACTCACTCACTCACTCATTCGTTCATTTTCTTCATCATTCTTTCATTGCGGAGAATACGTTTACAACAAAGTCGCGTGATAACGGGGAACGACAAACGAAAGGGTTGGAAATTCATGCGGAAAACAATAAAAGGATAAACAAGCCTCGATTTTCAATAATAAAAATTCATAATTTCCTCTCTCATCAAATATCTCGATAAACGTCACCTAATACACTTCTTTTGCTTATATATATATATATATTTTTTTTTTTGTTCATTTTCGCTTTTTTTTTTCTTAATTTTTTTTTCATTTTCTTTTTTTTTTAATCTTTTGTCCGCTTTGTACCATATCATGTGAGTGTTATATGTGTGTGTGTGTATATGTGTATATTATTTGTTAACAGTACGCACGCGGGTACGCGCGTACGCATTTTTGTTTGTTTGTTTGTTTGTTTTTTTCCTTCTTTCTAGAGGAGGTGGACATTTTTTTCTCTTCACCGCAAACACATTACAAATATACAATAATTACGACGCTCATTTTAAAACACGCATACGCGCGTCAATAAGTTAGGTAGTTCGTCATCCATGCCACACACACTTTGCACAATATTATTAATCATTCTCATGCCCAGCGCGCTTATTTTTCTCTCATTTTTTTGTTTTTGTTTTTGTTTCGTTTCCTGTTCTTATTTTACTTTTTTCTTCTTTTGTTTGTTTTTATTCAATACACAACAATATTAATAAGTAATAATAATAATCAGTAATAATAAACGGGGGTAGGAGGAATACGCGCGCGCGTAAACGCTCTTCTTCCATGCGAAATCATGATGTGTGGTACACATCATAGTAATTATTTGATACGTTTACAAGATAACACCGTATAACGGGATCCGTCCTTCGCACAAACAACAACAACAACAATCGTAAGAAAAAATTATATTTTCCGTTTACGCGTTGGGTAGCGTATATATTTTATAATATAGTGTGTTCGCGTGTGTGTATGCGTCTGTATATGTGTATGTGTGTAGCAAATAGATTTTTATAATAGAGCGTTTATAATAATAATAATAATAATTAGCCGTTAAAGAGCGGTAGCGATCCTGGTGATTGCGAGAATTCTCAATTGTTCATTTTTTTTCTCCTTTTGTTTTTCTTATTTTTTTGTTTTGTTTTATTTTTAACTATACTTTGGCGATATTTTCTTTCTTTCTTTCTTTTTTTTTTTTTTACAAATTATATCAGCCATATTATTACAAGAGTTTTCTTCTCACCTATCATCATTGATTCATTGATAATTCTTTTTATAACCGTGTTTCTCGTGTATACATGTTTTGCGCTTAATTATCAATCGTATATATATATATATATATATATACAAGGTATACACACAAAACGTGTTCACATTTTTTTAACGAAGAAGTTTCTCAATGAACTTTCTATAAGTGTTGTTTGTTGTGTGTTATGTTTCACGGTATTGTTTTCCTACCTATACATATATATATATATATACACATACATATCTTTATCTGTATGTGTGTATACTCGGTACCATGGGCGTATGCATAGATAACAAGCGTATACAGTAATTATATATTATATACATACGTATATTAAAATCGATTAAGTAATAAAAATCGCATTAAAAATTAGAAAAAAACAAAAATAAAAAAAATAGAACGAATAATCATCGCGTCTCTAAAAATTTGTCTCTAATGATAGTCGCGCTTAAGTAAAAAATAAAAAAACCCCTAGGATTTTTTTGGGACTCGCCTGGGCACTGCCTTTGGGACCTAAACGCCATTCGGTGCGACACGTAGCGCAGAGCAGGAATAATAATATTAATAACGAATTAATATTACTTCAAAAACAAATACAAAAAAAAAATACAGATTTCAATTAACAAAAAAAAAAATAAAAAGTAAAATCATCGCCACACTTTTCGTTTAAAATCCTTTCGAAAAGGCACACCGACGACTTTTCCCGAGTAAAAAACGTACGCGCGAAAGAGCTATATTTATTTTAACGTTTATCATGATAAAAATAAAATAAACGTATATACTAAAAATCGTTATTACAAAGTTACAATACTAATCAATTATTTAAGTAGCTCTTAAAGCGTACATTATTGTTACTGTTACTAAAAAACAGTTATTGCTCTGCTTCACGTTTCGCGTGTTAAGTCGTCTAGGCCTTTAGTCAAATATTATTTAACTTTAAAATACACGTTTATAATAATCATCAAATCGAATTGTGTTTTATGCACCGATCGAACAAGTACTCCCTCTCATTCTAAATAACTATTATATTAATTCGTTTTTTCTATCTTTCTTATTATTTTCTTTATCTTTGGAGCGAGGTTGTCCAATATCCGCGGACCGCCGCCGAGCCTCATGCGTTCCAGCGCTGTAATGAATGAGACCCAAACATAATTATAAACTTTTTTTTTTTTTTTATAAATTTCAATTTCGTACAATACTTTAATAATCATTTTTACTTAAAAATATTAAGCGGCCCGAGACAATTTGTTTTTTTTTCTTTTTCCTTTTTCGAATATGGCCTAAGGAAGCCAAAATGGTTGGACAGCCCCCCTTCTTCTTTTTCTTCTTCTTCTTCTAAAGGAAACGAAAATTTCGTTTAATTCCCTAAGATTTTTTACCTACGATAATTTCGTTAATATAATATAACGCTATATTACATTACTCTACAAATATTATTTACAAATTCTTATCGGCAATAATTCTTTATCTTTACCTTTCTTTCTTTCATTCTTTTTTTCTTTCTATGTTTCGTACGATAATTTTAATCCATTTGCTTCTTTTTTTCTTTTTCTTTTTCTTTTTCTTTTTTTTTTTCATTTTATGTACATTTGTCCCGCGTACAAGAAAAATATTTCTCACGAACGATTTAAATTATTATTATTATTATTATTATTATTATATTATTATTAATATTATTTTAATATAATTATTATCATTATTATTATTATTATTATTAATATTATTATTAATATTATTATTAATATTATTATTATTATTACTATTATTATTAATAATAATATTGTTATTATTATAATATACATATATGCACGCCCATATATAACTCGCGTAGATGTAATATGTATATTACCATAATACATATTCTTTGGAAGTGACCAAAAATAGTTGTTCAATAATAAATTGTCAATAGTTAAGATATTTTATCGACAAAGGACGATCAATCGTCAAAGACGTTAATTGAACTTAGCAGATTCGAACAAAAAGATTACATTGATATGAGAGCAAATTATATAATAATAATCGCGAAAGTATTTTCGTTGTCCCATCATTAGGTGAAATCGGTGGCTGCAATCTATCTATCTATCTATCTATCTAACTATCTAACTATCTAACTATCTAACTATCTATCTATCTACCTATCTACATATATATATATGTATAATAACGTGACATATCGGATCCACGTAAGTAAATTCAGTCAACGAATTGAAATTGACCATCCCCTGACGGTAAATCATCATCGTCAATCGTTATCGTCATCGTCATTGTAGCATCATACTCTAAAAATTACTATAAATATGTTTAATTATTATTCTTCAAGATTGCTCGATATGCAAGTGCAAAAGCGCTTTTTTTTCAACGTTATTTTTTTTCTTTCTTCTTTTTTCTCTTTCTTTCTCTCTCTCTCTCTCTCTCTCTCTCTCTCTCTCTCTCTCTCTCTCTCTCTTTCTCTCAATTCGTATATACTGATCGATCGATACTGATTAAGTTAAGAAATTTCACTAACTATTATCTATTATTGACGTAGGCAAAAGAACAGCTTTTGTACCTGGCGATATTTTTTTTTCTTTTCTTACGTTAATTTCATCTCATTCATAGATTAGAATAAAAGAGGAGAAGAGAAGGGGGAGAATGATATATAGTAATAGTATATCGCAAGTTTAGAAGACTATGAAAAAATGTCACCAGGTATACTCGATCGATTTGTGCATTATTTTTTTTTGTTTTTCCACATTAAATACGTAACGAAGAAATAAACGTTTCTTCTTCTTCTTCTTATTCTTCTTTTGTGAGAACTTCTCAAATTAGCAGCCCTATCACAGTGTGGCTCGGAGTGAAGGCGACATTTTTCTAATCATACAAAAAAGACGCGTTAATAACTGTTTATAAAACCGATTCTATTTGCTTGATTTCTTTTTCCGGTAGATCTTGAGGTGAGGGTGCTGTTTCAACAATTTCCGGTATATCTTCTTCATTTTCTTCCTCGATATCTTCGTCAATTGGAGTCAACGTATCTAATATCACAGGTTGTGTCTACAAGTATATATACATACATAGATATATATATATAATATAATCTTATCAGAAAAAGAAAAACGAATAATATTTGATATAAGTACAAACATAAATAAAAAAGGATATACGAACGAACCTGCGGCGTCGTGCACCGTTTCATGGCAGGCGCCATGAAACTGGTGATCGTGCTTACGAAGAAGAAAAATCCTGCCATGAAAAATGGTATACTGTAACTTTGTGTTGCGTCGTAAACAGCACCAGCTAATGGCGAGCCAACAATGGCAGCAGCTCCTCTGAATAATATCAACAACCCAAATGCATTTGTCAACTTATCCAATCCCAAGAGATCCACCAATATGATCGACGTTAATGAAATGTAACCAGCTATAGTATCATTTAAGAAAAAATTTATTTTTTATTAATAATATTATATTTCAAAATGTCGTGTGAAATAATATTATAGATTAGCGTTACTTACATATTGCTATGCCAAAGAATATACTCATGGCGATATAAGATGCATAAGAGTGACAAAATGGTGTTGCCGCTACAGCAAGGGTAGATATTATTAAGCAAACATTATTCAACAATAACGAATCGACTTGAGGAAAATCTGCTACATATCCACAAGCAACACGACCCACTGTGTTGGTTATACCGATTATGGATAATAAAAATGATGCAGAGTTGCTTTCAATTCCCTGAAAATAAAATGTGAATGTTTGAATTTATATATAAAAACGTATTACTACTGGTTAATAATTTTCTGTAGATAATTTTTTGATCAAGTGTACAAAACCTATTAGAAAAATTGTATACTTACATCTAAGATAGCAGCATCTACTAGATATACAAAAGGAACATATAATCCTGCCATTCCAAATACATTACTTATTCCAATAAGAAGAAAAACTGGATCCTTAAGCAAAGATACATCCATCATTGTGGCTAAAGCTTCTTTAAACGAATCAGGTAAAACTAAGCAGGGGCACAACGGTTCTGAAATATTACAATTGATAACATTAGTATTTTTGGTATACAAATAATTATTTAAAATATTATTTGCTATTAACTTACGTTGAGGTGGTTTTTCTATGTCTATATCTTTGATATCACCGCGTACAGATTTCGGAAGCGATATGACACTTTGTCGATAATTAGCAAGAGATTTTTGACTTTGATATTCTGGTAAATTAACAACACTGCCACTGTAAAATATATCTTTTCTTGATAAAGGACGAACCATTAAGGGCTTTTCCTTTGGGATGCGAGATGTACTTGTCGTGAATGTTATGCTTTCACCGTCCTAAACGAAAAGAAAAAAAAAATCGAAACGTTAATTAAAGTATAAAAAAAAAACCAATCCTTGAAATTAAAACAAATGTTTGTTTTTTTTTATTATAAAATATTACCTCAACTTCTGCATTGTTGTTACGAGATCCTAATACACTACTAGTAGAAAGCCTTAAATGCAAACTTTTTCTGATATCCCCATTGGAATTCAAGGTTGTTCTAGAATTCTTAATAGCGCTTAAACTTGGCTTATATCTTTCACCTGTACTAGTTTTGCGTATTCTGTCGAAGAACGGTACTGAACCATTTTTAGGCAAACCTTGCACGTGCGTCGTAAAAGCTGGCTGCGAGGCGTTTCTCGGAAGTATCGGCTTGATTATTTCACCTTCGGTTTTTTCGATTACCGTGTCCTTTTCTTTCTCGATAACAATTTTACTCCTCGATTTGTTAGAAATATTTTTTAAATCCATACTTCCACTATTACTGGTTGCTCCACTGGATGAGTGTTCTTGGACTTTGACTTCCGATATAGTGGGTAGAGTCGGCACCGTTGGAACTGGTGTTAAAGGAGTTCCTTTAATTTCATGAGTATACAATGTAAGCTATACATTAAATTACATTACTAAAAGGATGCTCTTTAAATAGGCAAGCATTTAAGATTTTACCAGGCACTAATTGATCTAAATTGAAGCTTGAGTGTACACCCGGATCAATATTAATAGGCATTTTCATTCTTTTCTCCATAGACCCGTCTGGTAGTTGTACCATAAAATAAGAACCACCTATACTTCCCCGTTCCATTTGAAACCTTTTCTCCTCTGCCATTCTTTGTAACAATGGCTTTACGGAAGAAGTTTTCGGATATTCCAGGGGTCTCATCATCGCACCAAATACCTATAAATATAAATCACATAAAGAAATGAACGATTCGAATGATATTTCTATAAAAAGAAAAAAATATAACTCGTTTAACGGCATTTATTTTTTTACTTACTGCGCAATTTAAAATAAGGCCTGCTAAGATTAAATTTGCCCCCTTCCAACTGTACGTTTCTAAGAGCATGGTGGCAAGAGGAGCAAATGCAAACGTGCCAAACCCTGAGCCACATACCGCAATGCCCGTAGCAAGAGATCTTTTGGTTTCAAAATAATAGCCTACGCAAACTACTGCAGGAAGATATATTAAACCAAAGCCGATACCTGAAATGAAGCATCAAAAAGAAAATAAATTGACTAATGTGTAAAGAAATGATAACCTTAGGTTAAAATTCATTCGTTGCATTATTACAGACCTCCCATCACACCATAAGTCATCATAAGCATATTTACACTTGTTGAAAATGTTGAAAGTACAAATGCCGCTGCACCTAGAAAACTTCCTGCCATACATACAGCCCGGCAACCATATTTGTTAGTCAGTGCACTGACAACAGGTCCTGTAAAGAGAAAAGAAAAAAAAAAAAAAAAAAGAAAAAAAAAGAAGTGCAATGAAAAATACAAAGGGAAGAATGGCATAAGAGAGACAGTAAGTAAGTGTAAATAGAAAAAGGAAAGTAAAAAACAAGTGTCAAATGTTGCATACCAGCACTAAGATACATGCCAGAGAGTAAAGAACCGACCCAAGCAGTTTTGCCTTTCCCCTCCCCAAAATATTTAACGAATTCGCCAAGGAAAACTCCGAACGTGTATGCGATCCCATCCACTATCATGTTACACATAAACGAAGCAAACACAACCACCCAGCCATAGCCGCCGTCTGGAGGTGGTGGTATGTCATGATATTCGCACAATGATCCTCCTTCATCTTCCGGGGAAGTTTCGTCTGCCGCACCATCTGCTCCAGTTAACCTCGATTGTTCTTCTACGGAGTACTCGCTCTCCGTCTGGAAAAGAAAATACAAAACAATAAATAACACACCGAATTATGCATCTTTTACAAAAACTTTTTTCTTTCAAAACGATATAATAATGTTAGGATGAACCCCAAAAGTTCACGTGCATTGAAACTGCATAATAGGGAGGGAGGGAATTGTTTTTGTAAGATTTACTCTTCGAAAATATTAATTAAAAATAAAAAATGCACGATTACTTTTTGGTTCGTATAATATATATATATATATAATTTTTCAGATTATATTGTAAAAAAAAAACTTATTATATTTATTTATATTATAACTAAAATGTTTGTCATATCTATTATTATAGCGTTAAAAAAAAAGTTCAATGACCTTGCGCGTAAAAATGCATATAGTTCGCGATCGTCGTACAAATGAATATTTAACGCGTATGTACGTATATTAATGTAAAACCGATGGGTGTCCTTGTTTCTTCGAAGCAACACAACGCAATCGTTCACCTTGAACGCTTTACCGATGCTTTGGTTTAGTGCATTCGGCTTACAAAGTCGCAGAACGCGATATTTTTTCCTCGAAAGAGAGTTAAAGAGAGAGAGAGAGAGGGAGAGAGATAGAAAGAGAGAGAGAGAAAAAGAGTGAATGAGTGAAATAAATTTTGCCGGAGGCTTCGTCGAAACGAGGAAAACAAAATATAGAAGGAAAATAACAAAATGGCGTATCGAAAAATAATTATTATTATTTTTTTCTTTCTTTCTTTTTCCTCGAAGAAAAAGAAAAAATATAACGAAAGAAAAAAATGTTTCCTGCGGGAATAATATATATGTGTGTGTGTATATATATATATATACATGTATGATAAAATGATAAAAAAGATACGAGTCAATTTTAAAAAGCAAACCTCTCTCGCAAACAAGAAAACGTAATATGAGATTTTCAGTGGCTAACTTTGCACCGCAACGAGATTATCCTATAACACGAATGCAAGCAAAGATATTAAATGCATAGCATGTGATTTTATCGGTAAGAACGGCGTACAGTTACTATTAAACGCCAGAGATTCAAGGTAAAGTACCGTTTACATAAAGTGCTGAAAGTTACTGCTATCGACGAACGACCAATCAGATCTCTTCAATATTTACGATAAATTTTCAGCTATCGTGGTAGTGGTGTGGGTGGAGGTGGTGGTGTTAGGAGAAGAGGCCGAGTGTATTGTTTTTCGAATGATTTCGAATATTATTCACGATAATTATTCATACAGAATTAATGTTATACAAGTTGTGTCGTCTTTACACGTATATTACAATGTTTTATAAATTGATCGTTTACAAAAGAGCCGTGATAAACGCGGGGCTAGTTACGAACGCATTAAACATTTCTCTATCTCTCGGTTGGATGTTTCATTCGATGTTTATTTATCCTACGAAATATAACTCGTATCCATATTTCCGTATAAACAAGGAAACTATTACTGACGTTATCTCGCTTCTAACAGTTTATACGTTCATCCTTTTTTTTCTTCTTCTTCTTCCGTTATTTAAATGGAACATTAATAACATTTGAAATTAAATTTAGAACACACGGCTAATGGTAGGATGGATATGAGATACCGTGAACGATTCTTGTTGTTAGAAACTTTATACATATTGAGTATTTATTCTTATTCACTATATCGGCAATTATCTTTTCCTTTCGGAAATAAAATATAAGAGAGAATCCATCTCCTTCTTCCTCCTCCTACTCCTCCTTGTTGAGAAGGGGACGGATGGTGTGCAAAAAAAATTCTATTTATAAATTTGACGATTGATCTAAGATGTATGTATTTCGAACAACAATCTATATAGCGATCGATAAATGTTATTTGTCATCGAAGACACGCGGTATAAAAAAGTTCTCGAAACGATTTGTGACGAATGTAACTTGTAACAAAGTTTTTAGTAGTAGAAGGTCACAAACAAGTCGATCAGCTGTTTCGCTGTCATTAGAAATGCCAATGTTACGACGCCACCTAACGCCGGGAGGCACGAAGCTGTTAAACGGGCGCGACCTTGTTTTTATTCCTTGCTTTTCATCTCGCAAACGCGCGTAAAATAAGGACGATAATAATCATTTCTTAAGCTCATAAAATAATAAAAAAAATAATCAATTTACGAGAAACACCTTTATGAGAAACAAGTTTACGGGGAATTCGTTAATATTGTTTCTTTTCTTCGTCGTTATCGCGCGCGACTAATGAAAAAAATATAATTATTCTTCGTTTGACGTATTTAAAATGACCGCCTCCAAATTCGCCCCTCCCCTCCCCCTTCCAACCACTTCTCTAACCAATTATTATTCGAGATATATAAAACAAGAAATGGACAAATTTAAATACGTTTTAAAACAAGTTAAGAAAATAATCGTGAAAATAATATTTTTCGAGATCGATAAAGAGAATTTCGGCTAAAGTATATTTATTAAAAGTGCGTCGACTGTCAAGGCTAGTCACGTGTTCCCGCTTTCTGATTCGCAGAGAAACAAAGAAGACGAAAGATGCAGTATGTGTATGTATGCATACGTGCGTGCATGCGTGCGTCCGAAAGGTAAACGAAGAAAAGACACTCCCGAAGGAAAAGAGACAAATCAATCAAATCAAATCACAAAATCGGTGATCTTCTTCGCGTGTAAGTTACTATTAAGAAATGTGGGGGAGGGGAGGGAAGGGTGTGGGAATAGGAAAAGGATAAACTCATTCTAATACATACCGTGCTGATTTTTCGCACGCGACGCGAGCCGTACGTGCTGTACTGCGACTTGTTGAGCGACACGCGCGACATTCTAAACGATCAGTATTATAGTAATCTTCTCCTTGCTCCTTCCTCGGGTCTTCTTTTTTAACGTATAAGAGAGTTCTATTTTCGTAGAGTGCGCGCAGCTGCGCGCGCGCGCCGCTAAGGAAACCACGGGTGTGTAGAGTAGAGAAGGAGAAGAATCGCGAAAGAATAAAGAGAATAAAGTAGTAGGTAGTAGTAGTAGTAGTATATACCCGTTGTGAGAGAGAAGAGAAGAGAAGAGAAGAGAAGTGGGGTGGAGAGGGGGGGAGGAGAAGAAAGAAACGGGAGAAACGAGAAACGAGAGAAACGAGTAACGAAAAGAGATTCAACTGTATAGAATGAAGGAGGGAGAGAGAGGGAATGATAGGGGGGTAAAGAGAAGAAACAGAAAGGTAAAGAAATAATGAAACTCCTCTTCTCCCTTTAGGTTCTCTCTCTTTCTCTCTCTCTCTCTCTCTCTCTCGGTACACACACACGAGAAAATTCGCGCGCGCGTCCGTCGAGAGTATATCACTCGTCGTAATCCGCTGCCATGCTCGCTCGTTCTTTCGTTAGTTCTCTTTCACGGTTATTCTCCTCCTCGTAATACCGCACTCGGTGCAAGTTACTATCGCACTGACATAGGAGCACGCCTGCTTGAGTCCGCTTACCCACGTACGAGAACGAATGAACGTGTAAGAAAGAGAAAAAGGGTGGGGGGAAGTACGTTGAAACGGTAGGAAAGGGATGGAAAAGAACAGAAGTCCAAAGAAAAAGAGAAAGAAAGAGAGAGAAAGAGAAAGATATATATATATATATATGTATACTATTTTCTCCCCTCCCTCTGTTGGCGTACTTCGAACTAAAAACTGGTCGTCTTTTCTCGTTCCCTCTCCTCTCTTTCTTTTCTTTTTCTTTTTCTTTTCTTTCTTTACGAAAAGGTCGAAGGCCCAAACGGTTCGCTAAAATTTTCCTTTTTGTGAAAGTAAAGACAAGGAAAGTGTATTTTGGTGATCGTTCTCTGTTTCTTCTTTTCTCTCTCTCTCTCTCTTTCACCCTTCGTTCGTATATATTATACGCGAACGTAGGTAATTAAGAAAAAGATAGAAATATGCACGCGCTTTTGCCGGCTCTCGATGTGACGAGCGCAGCACTACCATCAACTGCACTCGTCTACAACGACGATGCCACTGGACTACTGCATTGGACGACCAACGCATGTTTACGATGCACGCCACTGTTGCACACGCATACGTGAGAGATGACACACACATACATACACTCTCTCTCTTTCTCTCTTTCTTTTTCTCTTTCTTTCTTTCTTTCTTTCTTTCTTTGTCAAATGAGCTATGACTTCTATTTATACAGCTTCGTGATCGTCCATGACGGCATACGGTACGGCATGGTTCCATTCTTTTTTCTTTTTTTTTTTTTTACATACTAATTGCATTTTTGATTATTCTAATAAACGAAACACATGACAATTAAGAGTATTCCCGTTTTCGAAAATACACTAGATTTCTGATAATACTTTTTTCGTTTAATGTAGACTTTCCAATTACTATCGTATAAATTAAAATGTCATATGTCATTAGAAAAATGTAAGAATAAACAATCGGGAAAAAAAGTCGATTAGAGAGATCGATCGATCGATCGATCGATTGCATTCGATATATATTTCGTAAGTTACTTTTTCTCGTTTTTGAGAACACGCGAGACAAACGTTAGATAACAGTTTGTATGTATTATTGTGTAGTTTCTACCTCGTCCGATAGTCGCGTGTTACCTAGTATCGAGAAAGGTTTACGGATATACGCCAATGGAATGCCGTAAATTTACGGGTAAAAGGGACAAAAGCGGGAAATTCAAATTTATACATTCGATTCGCCAGAAATTAATCGCAAAACTATTACCGAGTTAACACACAGGATTGTGCTTTCAAGGTAAGTGTTAATCTATAAACATATAACGTTTCTATTATACTATCTCATTCTCTTAGTTTGTATTATTCTCATTGAAATAACATGAAGCGAATAATGCATATATATATATATCTATATACATATATATATTTTCTATAAACTTAGTACACATTTCGAACACTCTTGTTTAGCAAGTTCGAAGAATGAATGCGATGAGCTATGAGCAAGATACGTCGAGGTCTCGCGTGAATATATAGCTCGAGAGAGTAAAGAAGGTTAATTAACATTAATCAGAATGTGAAGTCCTTGCTGACATAGATTTTCTTATACAAAAATGATAGTAATTTGTAGAATAATGTTGTTCTTCTTTGTCCTCATTTATCGAAACAACAACGAACAATTAAAAAAAATCAGAATGATTTCAAAATTGATTTTTATATCTTTTGTCATCTTCTTTGAAAACAATGAAAATTTATCTCGGAGAATTTGGAAACTGATCAATAGAAACGACTAAGCGTTAATATAAATGAAATTTCATTTCTCTCATTAGGAAACGTAAAATGGATCATTTTATAGATCGTAATAAACGTAAATTACGCGATCTCTAGTCTTTGCCATTAAGATCGTAATATGCGCGCGCGTGTTCATTGGATATAGTCGCCCATTCGTTATCATCATCGTTTACGATCATAAGTCGCATGCGATATTTGTTTAAACGATTTTTATTTTATTATAAACAAGTGTAGCTCTTTAACCAATCAAAAAAATAATATCTTTTCTCATTCGTGTGGGGGGTGGGCGGGAGGTGGTGGAAGAATATCTATATCTTTGTATGCATCTATCAAGTAAAAAAGACGTTAGACTTAAATTTCATATTATTAAAATTAAAACAAACAATTATTGATTTTCGTTAATAATCTTTGGTAATAACGTTCAACGAGCTTTTTTTTTTTTTATAATCGACACATTGTAATTACATTGATTATACATACAAATCGTAGATATAACCAATCTCGTATTACTATATTTAACAGATGAAACGAAACGAAGATTTATGCTAATTGATTGTGAATGAATACTTACGTACTGCATCTTATATATATATTTTTGTTTTTTTTACAAATGCTTCTCGATAAAAATCAAAAGAAAATATATATATATAAAACAAAAGGGAAAAGAAAGAGAAAAAGAAAGAAAGAAAGAAAGAGAGAAGAAGAAGAGACTTATTCAAACGATACGCGTTCGTCCCTTTGGGATCGTTATTATAACGGACTAAAACAAAATCGTATCAACTGGTTTGATCACGCGAACCACTCTGCAAAACGAACGGACGATTCTTGTATATGCCACGGATGCTTCTCGTATGCTCGATGATGACGCTTATGAATTAATTAGATAATAACTCGCGACAATTAGAGAGACTGGCTGGCTGGATGGCTGGTTAGTTGGTTGGTTGGTTGGTTGGTTGGTTGGTTGGTTGTTTGGTTGGTTGGCTAGGCACACGCGAAACCATCTGCTTCTCATCTCTCACGGAAAAATTTGTTGATGGAGGAGCTTTACCGATGTCACGTACGAGAAAGGCAAAGAGACAAAGTGACCAAGAAATAGATAGATAGATATATATATATAGAGAGAGAGAGAGATAGAATGAAAGTAAGAAGAGGGAGAGAGAAAAAAAAAGAAATCGAGTTGAGGTCTCGTATAAAATTGTTGTTTAGGACCACGGGGTGTCTTCTTTTTTTTTCCATTCTCTGTCAGACATTTAAACAACGATTATTGTTTATCAACTACTTTAAACTCCTCATGTTGTTCCAGTTTGTTCAAATGGGGGCCGCGATGATAACTGTACCGCGAACAAGATGAAATAAACCGATAAATTGTTTAGCCATCTTGCTTGGTTGCTTGCTTGATTAAATGCGCTCGCGCGCACTTTTCAAAGGAAGAGCAATGTACCCCGTTTGTTCCATTCGATGATGAATCACACGTTTGTTCTTTCTACGGTCCACCATTGTTCGACTTTTCCGAGATATAATTATATCGCGTTAAACGTATGTATTTTTTTTTTTTTTTTTACATTCCTTTCTTATTCCCGGAATCATTTCGTCTCGCGGAAGTATGTATGTACATGCGTACGTGTTTTAATATGTAATATTTCTATTAAAAAATTCGATGTACGCGGTTTAGATATTGAAATTCATTCACGTAAAGTTCCATGAAAATACTATGTTGTAAATAATAATTATATCGATGAAAAATTGATAACATTTTTCAATACGATTGTTATTCATTTGATATTACGAAAATATTTTTTATTATTTATTATTATTATTATCGCGAATAATTTCATATTTAACACAACGTGGGATAGATTAAACATTTGAACATTTTAATAAGAAATTTTTATAATTCTGATATTCTCTAATTCGGGAAATAAATATATAAAAAGATAATAATGTTTAAGTTCGTGGAATAATTATATGTATTATATTATATTCATGTAAAAAAGAAAGCCAAATAAATATTTCTATCGCGGTCATTTATTTCTCATTTAAAAAAGACAAAAGAGCAAAATCTTTGGAAACTTTGTACCTATTCAAAATTCTATATCAAAAGAGAGAAAGAGAAAGAGAGAGATAGAGATACGATAGGTAAGAATACTAATTTATTCTATCGTAAAATAATCTCGATGAACTTTAATTTGTAAATATAATTATAGAAAATAAAAATTGTATCTATTCAAAATTTTATATCAAAAGAAAAATACAATAGGTAAGAATAATAATTTATTCTATATCATAAAATAAATAATCTCGACGAACTTTACTCTATAAATATAATTAAAGAAAACTTTCGTCTATACGAAAAGAAAAAGAAAAAGAAAAAGAAAAAGAAACTAAAGAGACACAAAACAACAAACATTAAAATGATTCACCGATACGTTAAGTTATTTTTCGAAGTAAATAACTATTACTCCAATTTTTATTTGTGTAGAGACAAATTTGTTGTTTTAGAAATATATATTAGAAACATTTACAATGTAACGTAAGTGGCAATCGGTAATCCATTATTCTAACTCGTAGCTCGAGAAAAAGATAAAGATAGAGAGAGAGAAAGAAACAGAGAGAGAGAGAGAAAGAGAGAAAAAGAGATAGATAGATAGAAAGAGATTTGTTCGACATCGATACAGAACGATAACGAGGCTAATAAACACTCAAAAGATAAGGCCCCTTCGTATGGCGTAAAGTAGATCTCAATCTCGGATTCGTCACGAGCAACGTTGTAAATTACCACGTGATAAAAGGTAAACTGGAAAAGATTACCGGATGGTGAAATATCGACTAACTAACTCTATCATACTTTGTTCCATATATTTTAGCTTTTTGTTTTTTTTTTTTTTTACTTTCGTTTTATTACTTTTTCCCGTTTTTTAGATGTGCTCTTCGTTACGAAATTTATTTTTAAAAAACGTTTCTTTTAAAGATAAGAGAAGAAGAATAATAAGAAGAAAACAATATTCAAGAGAATGTTTTCCGAATATATGTGTTATTACGTTATGCGAACAATTTGTTAATTAACAAAAATTGACTAAACTCGTAAAAGCATTATTTATCTGTTTCCTCATCGTCGCATGCATCCGTTCTATTCGTATCCGTCGATGCGTTTTTAATTTTCGTTTAAAATGATCGTCAACGCTCGTTGCATTATTTTTCTTTTTCTTTTTCTTTTTTTTTTTCTTTGAATTCATCGAAAATTTCGTATAGTATTAGATAATAATACGAAAGAAAAAAAAAATTAAATTTTGTTTTTTTTTTCCATCGTAAAAATGTGTATTATACGCCCACGATTTCTCATAATCGTTTTCCGTTTGTTTCAAAATTCAACGGAGTCACGAAGTCGCGTTCCAATGTACGAATCAAATGTGAATTAATTCCCATAGAAAAGTAAAAGCCAACGACAATGGAAAAAAAAAGAAAGAAAAATAAATAAATAAATAAACAAATGGGTAAATACATTTTTGCCAAACTTTCTAACGACGTTTCTGTGTGTGTTACCGCGCTATATAAAAATAATATAATATAACATAATATAATTTATTTAATAAAAAAGAAGAAAGAAAAGAGAAGATCTCTGACACACTAGTAAATAGAAAATAACAACAATAATAATAATAATAAAAAAAAAAAAAATAGAAAACCATCTTACCTTGCTTTTCGGTGACATGACGATTTTTAGGATGATCGAATGCGATTAATCGACACCCAAAAAACAAAAAAAGAAATGGAAAGAAAAATCTTTTCACGATACGTTAAACTTACGTAACAACAAACACACAAACTCGGGCAAAAAAAAGGAAAATTATATCAAATAAGAATCAAATGCGCGAAATATATGATGCGATAGAAAATCTATTGCATTCAAATGCGCGGATCTAATGATATTTATAATAGCACAATGCGTGAATTGTGTAAAAGAAATTAAAACGTTGAACAGAATGTGAAAAGAAAAAAAAAAAAAAATATAAAATTAAAGAGAGAGAATGAAAAAGAAAAACAGAATGGTAGATGATATTATAGTCAAAAAAAAAAAGTAAAATGAAAAATTAAAAGAGACAGTGGACGTTTGCCACCTGACTGGACAACGTCCAGCTGCTCAACGTGAAACGACCGATACGAAAATGCGCGCCTCTTCACCACCGATCATCGACTTATCGTCAAGCTTGGAAGTGGACTCTTGTCCGATTTTCCCCCTCCCACACACCCTTGCCTCCTTCCCTATTCCACAAATGCGACTGCCATCTCTCTTTATCTTTTGTCTTTTTTTTTCATTCCCATACATTATTAATTCATTCTAACGCGTTAAACGCGTTTTACGTTAGGCGTAATATTATATTTATTGGTTGTGTTGTTGTTGTTGAACTGTTCTTGTTGTTGCAATATTTAAATTAAATTTGAATCATGATACTTTTCTATACAAATTTTTACAAATTATAGATTTTCCTTTTTTTCTTTTGGTTTACAATAAAATTGTAAAATTTGTGTTCGAAAAGTTTTTAATCATTTTATTTATCTTTTTTGTACTATATCTCGTTATATTTCAAGATTCATTGCATGTATTTTATTCGATTGCGTTGCGCTTTGTGCCACCGCCCCCTATCATCGTGTCTCCGAGTTTCCCCCCTCCCCCACCCGTCCCACCCCACTTCTTCTTTCTTTTGTTTTTTTTTTATTTTTATATATATATATTCTCCCACCATTGACATCACCGCTAACCCCACCATCACTGCCATTACCACCAATCGTCCTTCCTTTCGAACATACGAACGAACGAACGCACAATTTACGCGGCGCACCGCGAAAGTGCTTTTTTATTCGCATACGAGGTAAGTTGTTTAAAAGTAATGCAGGGTAAATAAACATAATGGGGAAATTGTCATAAATCGAATTATCATATAGAAAATAATTATATATGATATTCATTTGCATTATGATTTTTGTAAAAATAGTGTGAGTGATTTTTATATCCATTATAAAATAGGATATAAAATACTTCGATAGAGAGTGTACAATAGAAAAAGATTCATTTGCAAAGTAGAAAAAGGTTCATGCGCAAAGAGATATTTCTATTGCTCTCTTATTCTTGATTGGACGATTCTCGTATTTACATTTGTACGTTCCAATCAAAATCCTATGGAGCTTTTCCGTCAAAATCCATTTTCCCAAGGTGTGTATATATATATATGTCTGTACAAATGCGTATATAGAAATTGAAGTAGTAACACATAAACGTATAGAATGTAAAGAAATTTGTTGATATATTATTTACGTTGTATGTTCTCATATGTGGGTGTTTTTATTTTTTTCTTTTATAACAATACGGACAAACGAAATTTATATTACATTGGCTTAAGTGAACAAAAATAGTAGTGAGCATATAAAATAAAAGAAAATTGATATTTTAAATAGAGTTTTGTTATCTTATTTTCCTTCAACAGAAAATGTTCCATAATTTTTGTGTGCGAAAATTTCAAAAGAGGAGAAAGAAGATTTTTGGTACGAAAAAAAAGAAAGAAAAAAGAGTCAAAAAATTCGTACGATATTAAATTTAGATCAAATTGAAAATTGTTATTCGTTCATTTGCTAATGCATTTCTTCAATGACTCGGAAAAATAAATATAACGTTATTATTTCTCGTGACTGAACGCACAAAGCACCTAAGGTCGTTAATATGGCAATATGAAAATTATTGAACGTATTAAATTAGATAAAACTCGACGTATACAAGCTGTGTCAATAGTCGTGATAATTTAATATCATTATCATCATCATCATCATCATCATCATCATCATCATCATCATTTTGTTTGTTCATCATTATAAAAGGTTTTATATGAAACATTATTTCTTTTTTTTTTTTCTTTTCTCTCAATTCACAAGCGTAAAATTACCATTTACGAATTATCATTAAATTATTAGACATTTTAGTCAAAGTTATATACGAAGCTTACATTTTTTTTCCTTTTTTTCCATTTTATTGTACAGGAAACTTTTTGAACGTTACGTAATACAAAAAGAAAATTGTCCCGTTCCTTTATTGGGATAAATCGATTTTAAAATCGTAACTGGAAAGCTTCATTTTTTCTTTCACGATCGATGGATAATAGCACACAAGTCACGTTTCGCGGAAAACCTTTACGATGTGAACACGAAGTTAGTAAGGAGGAAGAGGAAGAGGAAGAAGAGGTGGTGGAGAAGGTGGAGAAGGAGGAAGGTCGAAACGATTCAGCAACTCGAGGTAAGGACGAAAAGAATCATCAACGATAAACTTGAACACTTGTGAGTTAAGCTCACTACACGATCAATTGGAATTATAATTTTGATTTTATTTTCTTTCTGTTAACAGGGATATATTATCAGAATGAAATGAAAAATCTGCAATCATAAATATATCGCGAATATATTTTTCCAAGAATCAACTGTACACGCGATGCGGGCTTTTGATCCTGTGTTTCTTTCGTTGTAGTGGTTCGATCGAAAAGATACTAGAATTTCTAGTGATTTATAATAACATATCCCTAGAATCTTTATTATATGAAACTAATGAAATACGAAATTTGGAAATTTTGAATCCCTGCCTTTTAAGTCATCTTTTGTTTATACAATAATGAACGTAATTGTCCGTTTTTATCTCTTACTGCACTTTGGAAACAAATAATTTGTTAATCATGCTGATCTGTCGACTTTGAACGTATAATAATGAAACTTATCATCAAGGGTTATAGTTCGTAAAAATCTACTTGACCCGGGGAGAAGTTTGTTGAAAAATTAAAGGCTTTACCTCGGTCAGTGTTAAAAGTGCGAGTATATTATCAGTGAAATGTAAGAAGAAGTATCGACGTGTAATGAAATATCATGATACAATAACTAGAACAAACCTATAGTTATTTCGTATGGTATGTAATTATTCCATATATAAAAAACAAAAGCTAGATAAAATTTAATATAAACTTTGCCCTCGAACGTTTAGATATTTCATAAATTAACTGAATAAGACACATTTTAACAGTAACATAGACTATATATATATATATATATATATATATATATAACTAATAGATTAAATTTAAATATCAAAAAAAATCAATTTTTCTTTTTCAATCTAGGTGTATAATATATCAAAGGTCATCTAAACGGGCATATTAATGAAACGCTAATGATAATGTCAAGGTATTATCATTAAAATGGCAATGCAGAAGGTGTCACAGGTGTCTCGATGAAACGAATGAAATAATTGTGTGTGAATAAGAGGATTATAAAACACATAAGAAGATTATTTAAGGATAAACGATTAATACTCACAATAATGTTGTTACCGATGATATTGCTCTTAGGATTGATCTGCAGGCCATCGTCATCACCAATCTGCTCACCGATTTGTTCTCGACTACTGGCAGGGCCCATTTCGGCGCCGCGGCGCTTTCCGCAACCCGGCTTGGTGTTAGTTTCACCAAGTAACACAGAAGAAGAAGAAGAAGAAGGTGGTCGTCTTCTTCTATTTTTCTTCTATTTCTTTTCCTCCGAGTTTCCCCTTCTCAAAGTTTCCTTTTTCCCTAACACTATCCCCCGAAACCAGCGAAACTTTATTTCCTTTTATAACATATTCACCATCGAAACGAGCCACGCCATTATCCCAAATAATAAAAACGATTCCTCGAAAGGTTCTTCTTTACCAGATAGACGACACTTCCTCTGAACCGTCTCGTTCTTATTCCTTCGATTACGCAGGAACATAAACGGCGTGCGCTACTAGGCGGGGATAGAGATGATGATAATGATGATGATGATGATAGATGATAGATATCTCTTACTTACTTATCGAAAATTTGTAAATCTCTTCTCGAAGATGATGATCGATTAATACACCACAATTTTCAAGTATCACTAATATATTAAAATACACGTTGAAAACGTTAATTACGATTGAATATATATATATATATTGTAAACTCGGACGAGTCCACGATTAAGAAAAAAAAAAAGAAAAAACAAAAGCTTCTTTCCAATTGTAACACACCACTAGGTAGATATTTGACAATTCTTGACGTAAAAAGTTACATACGTGACAACTATGTAATGTGTATATACATATATATATACGTATATATATATGTATATATGTTTATGTGCGTGTATATAATATGTTCTTCTCGTCCTGCGAGAGGAAACACGTCGAGAGGACGGAAAGATGGAAAAATAGGGGGATAATATATCCCTTATAAAGGAAAAGGAAAGTTATCGGAGTGTTTCCCGCCGCGGGTGGGTAGCGCCGCGGCGCCCCGGGATCAATAAAACGACCGCCCGGCCGTCGCCTGCCGTAGCTCCTGCCTGGCCTGCCTTTCCCGAGGTTACCCGTATCCTCGACGCCCGACGTCGCGACGCTCACCTTTTACCCCCACTATTATCCCAATTTTACAACATCCGCGCCGGCGCGAGTTAACTCGAGATAACCAACCCCTAGACACGACCGCCCTCTATACCTACAACTTTATTTTCTTTTCTTTTCTTTTCAGTCTCCATCCCACTCCTACCCACCCCCATCCCTCCTCTTCTCTCTATTCTTCACTCAACGTAAGGGTCCTTCTTCTACCCTGATCGATTACCACCATGCTCGGCCAAAACTACTCCCTCTTTATTTTTTTAAATGACTAAGTTTTTCTTTTTCTTATTTATTTACGTTTGGTAATTGGTCAGAAATTTATTGGTATTCTTTTTATTTTCTTCATTTGCACATAGGAGACTCGTTTTTATTTTTCTTTTTTTTTTTTTTCCTACATCGTAGACAGTAATTTCGAGGGGGTGTCTTTATTCTTTAGAGATGTATAGATTTGATTTGTATTTTTTATTTTCCAACTATTATCGTGTTTGCATCCATTTTCTTGTTGTTTCATCGTTCGTGTTGTACTCGCGTTATATTATCGATAAATTTCTTCTTTACGTTTACCGTAAACTGTGACTATTGTTTTGTATTTTGTTTTTTGTTTTTTTTTCTAGAAACTAATTGGTCCTTATCCTTCATTTATTTGTTTCATAAATTATATTTATTTCTCTCAACTTTGATCATCTCTTTTCGCATATAGATTTCTATTATTTTGTTTCTTTCATTATTCATATCTCCTGTGTTACATTATCGATAAATTTGATTTTTTTTGTTTAAATCTTTTAAAAGAATATACGCTTATATCATTTCTGGATCAAGAGGTCGAAGTAAAAGTTCTTTTATAAATATAGTCTTTGAGTAAACGTGCTTTTTTATACTTCGTTAAAGTATACTTATGTCAGAGTATATTGTTGAGTTATTTAATGAAGCAAATTCGTTCTGTTGAAGATGTCTGTTTTAAATATCCGTAACAACGATTTTGTACAGTAAATTCACTTCGTTACTCGTTCGTAGTTTTACTCAAAGCTTTTTAAAATGGTCCATTACACCCTTTTTACTAATTATGTTAAGTTCATTGAATAGAATATTTAGAAACTTATTGAACAAGTTGATGATTGTCTATTTCATGCTTAAACATTTTCGTTTATTGTCTTTTTATATATCTTTGAAGTTAAATAATAATAATAATATTATGCAATTAGATTTTATTAGATTTGAAAATAAAACATTTTTTACTATTTCATGATGTAAAACATGATATTAAGTGACCGATAATAAAATATATAATAAATACATATATATATATGTATATGTATGCGTGATTGATAACGTATTCGTTATATTTTCATGAGAAAATAATTCATTAAATAGAAATATACGGTATGATATTATTTGCGCAGTACATTATATATATTTCACTGCAACGCGCCGATACGAGAATCTAGTTCTACATAATCACATATTCACACGAGAAATACGTATATATATGTATGTATGTATGTATGTAAATACATACCACTGCGAAGCAAAGAATTTGAGGCACGTTCGATAACAGTGCAGATCCAACCGCTTCCTTTAACGATGTGAAAAATGACGTATGCATATATATATATATTTCTATAAGATGATAGAAAACAGTGAATCAGACTGTTTGTCAGAGTGCAACACTTTTGTTGCTTTAACTTTTTAAACGAGACAAAGGTCATTGTACCACTTTGTAACAAATAGTTAGATCATTATTATCGAGTTTTTTTTATATTGTAAATATTGCAACATTGCGACAAATGTTTAAAAAAAAAAAACAAAAAAAAGACAAAAAACAACAGTGTAAATAACACGATTAATTATATATATATTTTTTTTTCTTTAGTAAATTTTAATTTTTTATTCATTAAATTTCTCTAAATCTCAGGGACTCTTGCAATTGTTTAATAACTTCTTTAGCTACAGAATATGTTTCACTTTGTTCATTGGCAAGGATATTCTTGATATTCTTAATAGAAATCGATGTGGTTAGCTCCTCGATATATTTAGGATCTTTAAGATCGTAGGTAATTGATTGAAGAATGCGCAAACATAAAAGTTGCAATTCTTCCGATATAGTATCCTCTTTTAAGCAGTTACTTAAAACTTCAGCTACACGAAACTCGAACAAGTAGCTTAAACCGGTATTGTTCATGCTCACGTTATACAATATCATCAGCATTAATCTAGAAAGAAGTATTGATTTGTTTATTAAATAAATTCTTAAAAGTGTTCTGTATATATATATATATATATATAAATTTAAATTCAATAATTTATCATCATCATCATCATCATCATCATTAATATTTTAAATTAATAATAATGTTTTTCTCATGAATATTAAATATAAACATTAATTGAGTTTTATTAAAATATATTTAACAAACATAAGAGAAATAACTTATAGTTAGAAATCATTTCACTTTCCGATAACATAATGAACGTGACTCGGTCTAATCACTGACATGGCCTATTTTTAGAAATCGTTTAATATCTATTTTTTTTTTATTTTTTTTTATAATAGAAACAAACATCTATATTTTACGAAACAAAAATTAAATAGATAATGTACAAATGAAACTAAAAAAAGTAAACACGATAATGCATTAGAGTCACAATCGTAATAATATTCGATAATTTGTTTGTTTTACCTTATTAATGAATGCGTTCCCGATGCTACTGGGAAGAAATTAGGCATAAATTTGATAATTTTCTCAACTAAATCCTTGCCATTTTGATTTGTAATAAGAAATTCTCTGCCTTTCGGTACAGATGATATGTTTGTGACAATACCCAATAGTCCTAACACGAACTGATACTCGACATTGTTAGTTGGCGGTATACCAGTCTCGTATGTGCTTATAAATGCCACAAAACTTCCGCTTACTATCGACAGGAACTCTCTTACTTTATTCTGAAGCTATTGCAACGTGTTTCCCTTATTATAATCGTACCAAGTCAAAGTATGTTATAACACGATAACGTATAACATAGAAAATAGGAATTGGTGATATTGCTTACACCTGATAACCAAATATCGACAATTTCTGGAAATCTAGAAGCACGCCATGCTAAATTTCCCAATACTGCGCCTAAACTCGCGCAAAAAGTGCTTTGGTTTAATATCTGCGTAAAAGAAGATAAGTTTCATATGATTCGTTCGAACTTGATCTTAATTTTTAACTTTTCTTTTCTTTTTTTCTTTTTTTTTTTGATAAAATTAAAGATATATACGCGTATATATGTACCGATAATTATGATAATATGTTTAACGATTTATCTTACCATTAGTATAACAATTATTTCTATAATATATATATATATATATATATAT